CGGCTAGGGTTTAGGGTTTAGGGTTTAGGGTTTAGGGTTTGTGGATTCGCGGTGTTGTGTTGTACAGGCAAGAGCTCATACAAACTGCTGATGAGGAAGCCGTAAGTTGCTGCTTTTGCTGCTGTTGCTGTTGCTGCTGCTGCTGCTCTTGCTGCCGCTGCTGCTGCTCTTGCTGCTGCTGCTGCTCTTAATATTGCTGCTCCTCCTGCTGCAGCTGCATGCCTGTAGTCTAAACCCTAAACCCTTGCAAGCCGATATAATCATTGTGCTGCTTATTCTGCTGCTCCTGCTGCCGGTCTGCCTACTGCACTTGCTGCTGCTGCTCTTCCTGCTGCTGCTGCTGCTGCTGCTGCTGCAGGGTTTACAAGCAGGAGAAGAAGAAGGAGGAGGAGGAGAAGGAATAAATTGTACAGATAGGGTTTCTTTTTCTCAACTTTCTTCTGCTATTGAAGGAGCAACAAAAGTTTATGGATATCGAGTAGAGGCTGTATATGACCAAACATATACTGTAAACCCTAAACCCTAAACCCTAAACCCTAGACCCTAGACCCTAAACCCTATTTATCCATACACCCATGATCAAATATACACCGTAAACCCTAAACCCTAATATACATTGAAGTCTAAGTGGATATCGAGTAGAGGCTGTATATGACCAAACTTATACTGTAAACCCTAAACCCTAAACCCTAAACCCTAAACCCTAATTATCGCTAAACTCATGATCAAACACACACCATAAACCCTAAACCCTAGACCCTAAACCCTAAGATGGATATGGATTTGAAGCTGTATACGATCAACCATAAACCCTAAACCCTAAACCCTAAACCCTAGCTAGGGTTTATATTTTTTTTTTTGTTTGCTGCAGTTATTGAATGGTTTATCTCAACTAAAGATGGGCCAATGGGGAGAAGAGCAAGGGAATGAGCAAGCAGCAACAAAGAGGCAGCAGAGGCAGCAGCAGCAGCAGCAGCAGCGGCTTAATTTATTCTTTAAGGGCAGCAGCAGCACACTTGCACATCCACAAGATCTAATTAATGATGAAACAGAAATACCCGCACCTATTGATCCTTTCTTCCTGTAAACCCTAAACCCTAAACCCTAAACCCTAAACCCTAAACCCTAATAAGCCATTAGAGCAAAACCCTAAATCCTAAACCGTAAACCCTAACAGCAAAACCCTAAAGACTACAGAAAGGACCTTAAACCCTAATCTCTCCGCTATTAAGCTCAAACACTAAACCCTAATCCAGTCATTCTAGGGTTTAGGGTATAGGGTTTAGGGTTTAGTGTTAATAAGCAAGTATTTATAACCAGGCATCCGTTCAGGGCTTAAGATATATGATATTGAATATACAATTTAGGGTTTAGGGTTTAGGGTTTAGGGTTTAGGGTTTGTGTACAGGAAGATGGCTAGTTTATTTGATCAAGCAGGAGCTCAGGGTTTATTGTTATCTAACCTCCAATTAGATAATAATATGGGTCTGCGTATGTATGGAGAATGTGCTGCATTCCCTGAGGCAGACACAGCAGCAGCAGCAGCAGCAGCAGCAGCAACAGCAACAGCAACAGCAGCAACTGGTACAGCAGCAGCTACTGCAGCAGCACATCCAGAAGCATGCCTACTTGATCCAAAGGCACTACTAGGTACGCTGATGTTGATGCTGCTGCTGCTGCTGTTGCTGTTGCTGCTGCTGCTGTTGCTGCTGCTGCTGTTGCTGATGTTTTTTTCTGTGGGTATACTGATGGTGCCGTCAGTATTGCTGCAGTTATCCGAATGGCTAGCTTAGTTGCTGGATGGATCGTAGAATAAGGGTTTAGGGTTTAGGGTTTAGGGTTTAGGGTTTAGGGTTTAGGGTTTTGTTCAGATGCTGTGGCGGATGTTTGTCCAAATAATCAAATTGATGCAACAATTTGTGGTCCGGCAATTCTTCATTTTACTCAGCAAGTAGAGGCGTAAGTCGTCCTAAACCCTAAACCCTAAACCCTAAACCCTAATCTGTATATCCTGCATTTGCTGTTGAAGTTACGTGTGTAGCATGAAAGTTGCATCATCTACAGAGACTGTATTTTATATTTAGGGTTTAGGGTTTAGGGTTTAGGGTTGGATATGGTGAGGGTTTTGAGTAGAGTCTGTGGCTGAGATGGTTGAGGAAATAAAATTAGGGTTTAGGGTTTAGGGTTTAGGGTTTGGGGTTTATATATGCAGGCTGAAAAAAGAGTTAGATGGAGAACTGCCAGCGGAGGCAGAAACTGAACAAAGCTCGTCAACAGTAAGATTAGGGTTTAGGGTTTAGGGTTTAGGGGTTTGTCTTTGACCGTTTGTCTGTTCCTGTTGGTGCTTTTGCTGCTGCATTTGCTGCTGCTCCAATCACTTCACGTGCTGCTGCTGTTGCTGCTGCTGCTGTTGCTGCTGCTGCTGTAGGGTTTAGGGGGGGCTGATGCGGAGGAGGCGGAGGAGGAAGACGGTGGGGAGGAGTTGCTGCTAGGGTTTGAG